AGGTCGTCCTACTACTACTACTCTACTCTTCTACTCTTCTTCGTAGTTGTAGTACGTTTCCCTTACTCCTACTACCCTACCTACTAGTCTGTCACATATATATATATATATATATATATATATATATATATATATTTGTGTGTGTGTGTGTATGTGTTCCTAAACAATAAAATTAAGGCGCACCTCAAAAGTTCACTAGAAGGGGTTGTTTCGATGTTGAAAAACCCTCAATTCGATCATCTCGACCTCAAGTTATATTGAAATGAGAAAAAATAGATTTCAAGTATTGGAAATAGTGCTTCTTGTAGCCTATTATATAGGCTGTCAATTTTCAAGATTTTCAGGTGTTCATAGATCTGCTCGATCAACACTATTTTTGAATCTTTGAATTTTATAATTAGAAATGAAATAAATTTTCAGGCCATCATAAAGATTTCTGTACTGAAACAACATATCTAAGGACTATTTAAAGGTGCGCTTTACTTTGATTGTTTAGGGCCTCAGCCTTATACAAACCACACCCTAAATCTTTGTATGTATGTATGCATGTATGTCTATGTATATATGTATGTATGTATGTATGTATGGATGTATGTATGTATGGATGTGTGTATGTATTTATTTGTTTGTTTTTCCCCCTTTCCATGTAGGAAATAATATGCTAGGTTTGAAAGTGTCAACTTGGTATTCAAGTTGGCCTAACAAGTAAGAGTAAGAGGCACACTAAATAAATGACATGTATTTCTCCTCTATGATGCCTTGTTATACTGGCAATTTCTGTGTCCGAAGGGGGAGCGGCATCTTATGATTTTTTTGTATGCAAGTGTTACTGTATTGCATGTGTCTTCCATAAGATTTTTACTCTTATCTTAAATGCCATTTAGATTTTTGCTTGTGAGATTGACTGCATTGAAATGAATCAATGAACATATGAATGGCATTACTAGCATGGTTGATCTTATGCATTGACTTAGTTATGGTTGAAAGAAATTTTTCATTTTGCGGATGCTAATTTTGCTTTTTTTCTTTGAGGCTGTGGATGCTGATTCCATTTCAGACCTTAGGAGTGAGCTGGGTCACCAATTGGCTATCAAGAGCCATCACTTTAACTTGAGGTAATGTATCATCACTTCACTTCTATCATACCTAATTAAATTTCATTGCATTCACAATTTGCTCTTTTGTTTTGATTTTTTTTTTATTGATATTCCTGTAGTCTTTATGTTCATTGTATGGACTTTGATAGAACTCTGTAACTGATCTCCACGAAGAGTTGAATTGATGGTAGAAGTGCCAAGATTTTGAATGATTTACTCTACCATCATTTGCATAATTACGTATGGTTTACGTCTATTCGAACGAAAGTTTGCACGAGAGAATCATGAGGGTGTTGGGCTGGATCTCAACTTCTCATTAACCTGATCTTCAGGGCTATATAGATAGAATGTTACAAATTATATTGTGCTTGGCTTGGCATAAATTCCCCTCACTAATGGACTCGATAAAAAAAATGATAAAAAGAAGGAAATCCTAGACGTACCATACATAACACAACTTTTACATACACACGATTATTTCACAGCTTGTTATTTGGCTTCAGAATTCATGGTTTGCCACTCTGTGGGACCTCTAAGAACGAAACCTTAAAACCCTAAATCCTGAATCATATGCCTCTTTATAATTTGTAATTGCTAAATCTGGAGGTTAGAAATTGAAAGGCATTCTTTTTATTATAGAAAATCATCCAAGAGAATTTGATTTGCATTTATGTATTTATGATGTTTATTTCAACTGTGTGAATGCCCATCACTCATTTCTGTTGTGAAAGTATCATTGCATTTCTTGTTTTGGATTTTTGTAAACAGAGGCATTGGAGCTGTGGTATATAGAGTTCAAGAACTTGAAAATGAGCATGTAGTGAAGATAAGCCTCCGAAGTGTGGCCTCAGAAGATAGTACAATCATCTCACAGGTTACCTCGTTGATCCATATAATTGATCCATCCACCTCAATAAGATAAATATAGTTATTTAATAATTATGTTAAAATACCCCTTGGTTCAATAAGAGAGGTATTGGAAAGTTTGCAAAAATATGTAAAAATTAATTTGAAGGGAATTTGGTAGAGGAAGGTGTCCCATGTCTCCTTACTTCTCTATTTTTTCCCAACTCTTCCTTTTTCCTCATCCTTTTTTAAAAAAAGAAAAATTTTTATTTATTTTTCGCCCTTTTGAGAGAGAGAGTGGAGGCTTGAGGAAATAAAGCAAGATTCTCTTAATTGCATTTCCAATGTTTCCTCTAACCATGCCTTTTGATTCTCTTCAAGAAATGATTATATTCCCATATTTTTCATGGGAGGGTCTACTTCTTTATGATGTTATAAAATTATGCAAAAATATCATTAAAATGAACAAACAACCTTACAAAATCACTGAGGTGCTCAAATCAACCGGTTTTATTAATATAGTGGTTACTTAATGAAGAAGACCAGTTCACTTGAGTACTTTCTCATCTTTTTTAACAAAAATGACTGAAATACCGCTATTTTAGGTTTGGAATCCTAGAAAGGCGGGCATATCTTGGAAATTTAGCTCCATCGAAGTGGTCAGAACTACATGATATTGGTGGTTGGAACCCTACTTCTTCAGGGTTCAAAACCTTGAAACTTTTTTTTCTCTTTCATTGAACTCATGTTCCATGACGAGAAATGGGAACAAGCAAGGGTATTTGTATCTTTTGGCTAAACTTAGCTGTTGGAGCCAAACGAGAAAACTACCCCCTCCGTTTTGGGTCCCAAACCTGGAACATGTGTTTTGTGTTTGAAATCTCTTCTTCTGGGTTTGGAATAGGGAACCGAGGAAGGTGGCACATTGGTAATTTGACCTATTAAAATTATCATAATACCCTTGTCTGTTCAAGATTCCTAACCCAATTGTTAGGGGCATTTTTTTGACATAATGCTTTAGGAGGTATTAATGAAATATTGTAATTAAAGCAAGAACTTTATTGATAAATTGGTTGATTTGACCACCTTAGTAATTTTTGAGGTTTTTTGACCAACAAATGATACCATAAGAACTTGAAAAAGAAAGAAAAGAAAAAGCAACAGGCAGATTATTTGTCTATGTCTATTCTCACTTTATGAGAGACCTTGAATTCTTACGATGACATCAATTCATGTGCTGCGGAAATTTATTTGTAGTGTTCCTATTTTTTTTGTTGAATTATCGTAAATGCAAACATTTGTCAACATCAGTTTGATTTTTGCA